AATATTAAGTTGCTATTGCATTGCAACACAGGTTTTGGTTGATTAGATGCAAAACCAACTCACCTATAATGAAAAAGGAATCACAGTGAAATCCACATATTTTTAGTCTCATGATGTTTTCATGCAGCTTTATTTTTAGACAGAAATGAGAAATAACTGAAAGCTAGAGGGGAGAGCTCACTTTTAAGGCAGCATTTCCCAATTCTCCAGTCCATTCATGAATCTGTAGCTGCATTTCCAGCTAGATTACTGGACTCATGGCTCCTAGTGCCCTAAGGGCACCAGGGAGTCTTTTTCTACTGACAGCCTCTTAAGTGGTTTCATCTTCTCTGCCATTTGTGATCACAGTTTCTGTCAGCTGCAGTTACTTCTTTCACAGAAGATCCAGGTTAAGAAAGGCTGAGTGTATATCAAAATAATGCCAGCATCAAGAGGTCAAAACCCACGATGTTTCTTAACCAGTAAGACTTGCTATAACTGGAAAGCTTTTCAGCTTTTCATTGCAGGATTAAGGTCAGAAGTTATCTCTTTCCTTCCTTTGTGAGGTCTCCCCCTTATGATTTTAAGGTTTGTCATGTAACTACGCTGATTAGCAGCTTTATCACGATCTCCATATCCAGCATGAGTTTCTTTGTCAAGAATAATCTGATAACAACATTATTTTGGTGACTTCTATCCATGACCTGGTACTTACGGGGCTGTAAGAACAAGAATTGTTAGGATGAACTATGGTTTAGACATTCAAAACCCAAGGAATTGCTTTTATTTATATTAATGTATTCTAGAAGGCTTAGATAATTTTATTTAGTGCCATTATTCACTTTTATATTTATTTTCATACTATTTAAACTGATTTATTTTTCTTCAAAAAATGCTGTAGAAAGTTAAAGTATTCCATTTATTTTCATTTTAAAAATATTCCATTGTTTTGCTACTTTCTGGTACTTTGAATCTGATACCACTTTGCCTCTCAGTCTTTACCTGTTCCTTCTGGCATAAAGACCAGAGACTTCAGAAAAATAACAACACATGCTTAAGAAAATTTCCTAAGTTGGGCAGTTTCTGAGAGATATGTGTGTGCATGTTAAGGGATTTCTCTCCCAGCAAGCATTCCTCTCTACATGTTAAAGTAATACCTGAATACCTCTCCTCTTAACTACTGAATCACTTTGAATTTTCTTCTCTTTGACAAGTGTCACAGACATTTTTCCAAATGACCTATTGTGCAATATCACCATATGGCTAACTTGTAGCCTCTCAACTCAGAAAGCTGTGTCTTGTTTAGGCGTCTTCAAAGTTCAGCTTCTCTTACGAAATGCAAATTAAAATTTTGAAAAATATTTTGTCCATCGGTATTTTGGAGCTAATGGATAAAATTAGACATACAACACGTGTTATAACAACCCTCCCAATCCAAATATTCTTATTTGAAGCAGAATACTTAATTATAAATTTGCTAATTGCAATACTTGACAATCTCATTTAGATCATATATAGCTTTTTAAATATGTGATTGATGGTTTGTATGGTCTTTGCACTATGCAAAAAGGTCTGGTAAGAATCTACTTGCATTTTTTACAATGTTTCATGCATGTTCCTGATCCAAAGAGCTCTCAATCTTGCTTGACTGAGTTAACCAATTGTTTCAGATTACCCACTCAATGAAACCTCAGATTCTTTCTTCCTTGACATATTCTTCACTTTTCATGTAAATAGCTCCAAATTACCATGCCGTGTCAGGGAGAGAGGCAAGTGAGACTAAATGAATACCAAGTGACTCCATGATGCCAGTACGAGACATAAAATAGCAAGTACAAGACATAAAATAGCAAGGACTTGACAAAGTCCTTTCTTCAGATAAAACTATGCAGAACTAGTTAATGAAAAGTCCTCCAAGTTTGGCAAGCTAAATCAGCAATGTCTGCTGGCTTTTAATTGTTCTAAGAGTTTCTGGCCACAATACACAACTCCTGTGCTACGGAGTGTGCTAGCAGTGGCAGCATTCAGTGTCCCTGGGACACTGTGCTTTAATATTCATTTATTTCTCTCTCATTTATTATCTCTCTCTATATATATATATATATTTGTTTAACGAATATTTGCAAGCTCTGCCCAGATCCTGTAGCTTAGATCTTCTTTTCTAACTGACTAGACATCACTGAGGAATACTGTAGCTTTTTTCAAAGTATTGGCTGACAGACAAGAACCTTCTCTTTTCAACTGTATTAAATCATTGCATTGAGCTTTGGATAGCAAGTTAAACACAGAAATCTTGCATGCTTAGAATCATAGAATCATTTAGGCTGGAAAAGACCCTTAGGATCATTGAGTCCAACCGTTAACCCAGCACTGCTAAGTCCACTACTAAACCATGTTCCTCAGTGCCCATTTATGTGTTTCTTAAATACCTCCAGGAATAGTGACTCCACCACATCCCTGGGCAGCCTATTCCAATGCTTGATAACCCTTTCCATGAAGAATTTTTTCCTAATATCCAGTATAAACCTCCTGCAGCATAATTTGAGACTTTTACCTCTTATTCCTTAAAGCAGAATAAAGACAAACATTTGACCTAAGACAAATTTAATTTCATTTCAATATTAAAGGGTTTGCTGGAAGAAACTTTTTGAATATGACAGTAAATACAAGGGCTTCGAGAATAAGAAACAATTCAAAGCATTTGGCTAAACCAGTAAAAACACAAATATCTAATACGTGAGTAATTGGGAATTACATCCATGAAATATGGATACTTCAGAGGCTCTTCTCCATTTGTAGAATGGGTTCAGCAGTGCAGGGCCTTCTGTAGTCTTCTAGTTTTCTGTAGCTTCTGGAAGTAATAACTTAAAACTTTTCAACAGCTTTATCTGATTCAACTATCATATGTACCAGGAAACAACAGACTTGATATTTGATCATTGCTGGCTTTTCATACACAGCCTCATGGCAAACAGTTCCTTCAGAAATTAAAAGCTGATTTCACTTCTGGACTGAGGAATAATATCTGCATTAATAATCCTGGCCAGAGTACTTTAACCCTGATGGGACATTTACCTCCAAAAACCATCAAAAAGCATGACGGGGCTCAAATATGGAACATACTGTTTATCTAGGAAAAACTGATGTTGAGGACCAGATTTAGAGTGTGCTGACAAGTTTTGGTTGTCAGTTTGGAATAGATTGGCTCACAGAAGGAACTGGGTTTAACATAGAAATGCACCTGCTTATAGGCTATGCATGAGCCATGCAAGGCAGGAGGCTCTTCATTTGAGATGTGTCATTTCAATTTTGCCATGAAACTGCTGTACTAAAGCAAATGCCCTGATTTCTCACATTTTGTCTTACTTGATGGTTATTTAGGAAACCCTACAGCAATTCTGAGTGGTAAATGCTACAACATGCATTTTTTTTGTTTGTCCTCTTTCTGCATCCTGTCTTTGCCACGGCCTGTTTTCCAACAGCACAATTTTCTTGTTATCACCCTTTCAGGAAGACTTCACAGTGTGAGCAGAAAAATGACTAGCTTTTTCTGTAGCACATATTTATGGGATTATTAGGGCAGTTTCTGATGCACCTCTTCAAATGGCAGTGATGGTCAAGGATGCCCCATCTCAAACCTCCCTAATATCTCTTCCTGTCCATAGTCCTAAGTTAATCACTTCACTCCTTATGAAGGGCACCTGCTTATTTTCTTTTCCACTGGAAAGGATCCACAACCACCACCACACTGAGTGAACAGCAAAGCAAGCTAGTTTACATGAAAGGGAGGGAAGAGAGGCCTCTTAAGTGGTGCCCTGTTTAAGAGGCACTTCTCTGTCAATGACTTACTCCAAGTTCTGAGCCTGAAGATACTACACCCTTTATTTCCTGGAAAAAAAACCCACAAACTGGGTGGTGAAGGCATGTATATCAAAACTTTCTCATAAACTTTGACTGTAGGAGATGCCACTTTTCTTTCTCTACCACATTTTTTCCTATTCACTCTGCCCTTGCCATTAGTACACCTAGAAAGAACTCAGAAACGCGGATTCATTGCAAATTTTAGCTTTTGTGGGCTTGAACACATTTCCTCTAATAGCCTATTCCAAAACACACTTGGGGCATTCTCATCTGCTCTTGTTGAAGTTCCAATCTCGTACTTAAGCACTGGTGGCCAAAGGAAAGAGGCAAGCCTGCTTCTGTAAATGCACTGTCTCAAAATGCCCAGTGGAGAGGAGCACTCTCCCTTCTCATCACTTCCCTGGGGGCTGTGACTATGTTTTCCCCAAGCAGTTGCCTCATGACATCTGTATAATCAGAGAGACAGGGATGTACCCACATCTTTCACCTCCATAAGAGCAACCTACCTGTTGGGTTACAGAGTCATGCTTTTCTTTCCCCGCCCCCCCGCCCCCTCCGGTGAATCCAAAAATGCATGAACAAGCAGCTTGAAGTCGCATGTGGATACTGTCTCACTGTGCTTGTGTCCATCTCTTGCCCAGTGAATCATAGATCATTTCTAAGTAAACCTCAGAAGGGAGGGACAAACATTCCCTGAGATTTCTACACACACCCACTCCTGTTTAGTCCCCAGTCTCACCTACTGGCTGATGGGTTAGGCAGGGGAGAAAAACAGTGTTGGATCCCTCCAGGCAAAGGAGACAGAAACAAACCTTCTCTTTTCTGACACTCTCTGTGAGAGTTCCAACCTCGGGATAACAGAGGCAGCTCCAACAGGGCTGACTGGACATAGTTTAAAGGAAACTGGTGATTATTCATTTTGTGCAGGGCCTAGCTGAGTGTGCAGCTGATCGGCATGCTGGCCAAACAGACAGAGGCTGTCAGTGTAGTAGCTGGGGAACACCTCACCTGTGAATCCCTGCAGCGATGAGACATCCCTTCAGTCTTAAGCCACACACTCACTCTGTGAGCCTGCCAATGCCTCCAAGCGGAATTTAGCATCTCATGAGCTCAAAGGTCAGGAATGCAACCACCACCAGTAGACACATCAAGCACAACATGTATTTTATTGGTTTCATTTCAAAGATAGTTAAAAACTAGATTGAAGATGAGTTGCATAGCATAATCTCTACAATTTATGAGGAATAATCACATTTTTTATGCAGTCCTTTATTTTGATTTGTGTATAATTTTGAGGGAAGGATGACCTAAAATTTTGGCCATACTTTGAAAGAAGCCATTGAAAGTATATAAATCATAAACTGTATCTGAAATATCTAAGTCATATCAGAGAACACAGAGCTCAGAAGCTTCTCCTAAAAATACTGACTTCTGTTTTGTGATTTCAGCCTCCTGGCTATTATTAGAGCTTGTAATAATCACTATTTTTGCCTTGATATTTGAGAAGGAGATAAGTCCCACAGAGAATAAAATGTGTTTGAATAATTCATTGCAAGGAAATATGGATTTGGTTTTCAAATATATAGAGGATTTTCTACATACAGTACTCTGGAAATAGTGTATTAAGTACATTTATTATCCATAGAAGGCAAACATATATCTGCAATTAGTCCAAAGACTTAATTTTGCAGTAATTGGAGTATTTAGATGAAAGAGCCTGCATTCATATGAAATGATCTTTTTTTCTATATACTTGGAAGGTTAAGAAATAAATCCATATAGAACATATAATCCTTCTATACAGTGTTTCAAAGTGTTTATGCCCTTTTTGTACCTGCACTACCTGGGGTTGCAGTATGTTAAATTTCTTCTTTCTTTGAAATTTATTTCACATGATGGGAGGGATGTTCTTTCTACAAACTTACAGTGCATGTCATTTAGAATTTACTCTTCCTATTTCAAGATTTTCCACTGAGTTTTGGCACTGAGAAGAATTTGTCTTCATTGATGGAAAGACATATCAATACTGGCAGGAACACTCCACTTACTAGAAGGGAAATATTATTCTTTGCTGAGATGAAAGATTCCTTATGCATCTTCCATCAATCTGAAGCATTGTGACATTTCCTATCACTGTACCACAAGAATGTTCCTTCTGGGAAATGCACAGTCTATACTAATGAGTATGTTCATACACCAGAGCAAATCTTTCTTTTCCTCCTATAAAATGGCAAAATTATTCTTAATCTAATATTACTAAGCTACAGCAGAGAGAATGTGTAATTGCCTGTAAATAATAGGTCAAAATGACCAAGCATGACATTTTTAAAGTTCAAATCCTCTCATCCGTAGTTATCATACATTGCATTACAGCTATTCACAAACAGTATTTGTCAAGCCACTGTGTGCCAAAGTGACTTATTTTGTAGTAAATCAAATAACAAGTGAAACAGAGCTTGTTGAGGTTTGCTTTCAATTTCCTCTTCTAACTTCTGTGTCATTTTAAATAAATGGCATAGTGGTGAGGTGAAGAGGACAGAGTAAAGCACCAGAGATCACCTGAAGGTCAGCATACAACAGGTCTCTTCATATTAAATCTGTCAATGCTGAGCTGGCTTTCTATCCAACAAGGCAATATTCTGCATAACAGAAAGGCAAAGAGTGAAACAGTTAAGACATTTAGATACCAGGAAACTGCTTTTCAACGTTCCAAAAAGCCTGCTCATTACAACCTCAAATAATTGACTATTAGACAGATAAAACTCCTGCTTTTCAAAGCAGACATCAAGGACCAGACCTTGGGCTCTGAAGTAGAAGGTACAACTCTGAAAATTGATCCTCAGTTTACATACATATGAAAAACCTCTCTCTTTCCATGTACTTTATGGTAGATGGTAAGAAACTGATAATGTCTCTTCTCATTTCCACTACAAAGCTCTACTGAGAGACTGTTCCAGCTCAAGTGAGTAAAACAAGTTCTTCAAAAGAACAAAAGAAAGAAGAAACCATTATATTAAAAAAAAAAGAGAGAGAAAGAAGAAGGACCATTTTTGAATTCTGATTTGTGCTTCCCTTTTCCCATTGTACACTGCTCTGTGGTAGTTGTCACCCCCCTTTCAGAATGACTGTTTGACCAACTTTTTCACAAAGCCACCTGCCTCCCTCCAGGGATATGCTCAAACAACTCAAGGACTGTTTCAGCCAGAAGCAGTTTCACATAGCTGGAGCCAAAACTGCCCCAAGGAAGTTCTAAATCTTGGATGAGAGTTCTGAAGGTGCTTTTAATGGGGTCAAAATTTCACTTCCCAAATGGCAAGAGCGCAGCCAATTTAGGAGAATTTTTTCTTCCAGAAGGACTTCCTGGAAGCACAAAATCATCCCATGGCTGGCTGGATGCATGCTGAGGGTCATAAAACAGCTGGCCTCAATGTATTCAGGCTTACATTACTTTTTTTTTTTTTTTACTTTCAATGTGGGTTTTTTTGCTCTGTGCCTTCCCTTATTTATTTTTTTAATTTTCACAATAATCAATATTCCAGACTAAGTCTTAGATTTCAGACATTTGCTCTCAGAAATCAGAAAGCATGAGTCTTATTTAGGAGCTTTCAAGAGCCTTCTAAAGAGGGCACTATCAAATGAACCAAGAGTAAGAAAAAAGAATACTTCGAGCTATTCATGATGGAGAAGCATCCAAACTTTTAAGAGTTCCCTTAAGTGGCCAGTAGAGACTGCTCAGGATAAACAAAGTTCGTATAGAAAATTACTGTTTTGGTTGAAAAATCTCTAATTAGAAATAATGTGTCAACATCCACAAATATGTAAGAAAACAAGAGTGGAGGGATCGTAGAATCACAGAATCATGGAATGGTTTGGGTTGAAAGGGAACTTAACAGATCATTTACCTCCCAGCCCCCTTCCAGGGGCAAGGACACAAAAAAACCCCCAGGGAAGTCATCACATAGAATAAATCAGAAGGAAAAGGAACAAATGGAAATGAGAGAAATAAGTTGAGAACAAATGTATGGAATTCCTGCATCAGGAATGTGTTTTGCAAATGGCATCCTGAATCTTCATTGATCTTTGAGCCTTGTTGACATCCTCACACATCACTTCTGAAGGAGGAGACACAGGTTTCCCAATAATTCCCTCTTTTCCGGTGCTTTCATACTGTCTACACATCACCTTCAGTTTCCTTTTTGAAAAGGTGAACGCACTGCTACTCTCACACCGCTCTCCCACTGTTCCTTCCCACCCACATTGTCTCTAAAATATGTCTTGCATCCTCTCTCCTCATTGTGGTTTTAACAAAGCAGCATAAGGAAGTAGTGTATTGTTGTATTTACTTTCCTTCACTGAGATGTGGCTTTCTGACAATGAAGCTGGGCTTGTTTTGGGAGTCATCCACCAGTAAAACTTGATCAAACCTGTTGCATCCTGAAGCAATTGTGCAAAACAGAGGCTGCCGTAACCTAATCACAAGCAAAAACATGTAGGTGAGCTGTAATTATCAAAAGTTTTGCCATCTGATAACATTTACAGCAAACAGAAATTAAAAGACTTAAACCAGAAGCAAATGAGTGGAAGCTTTTTCTTTTTTTTTTTTTTTTCTAGAGTAACTGACTACTGACTTTTCCCTGAAGTTGCATAAACATTTTGTCTCCACCAGAGAATCTATCCTGAACATTTTTCTTCACTGGATGTTGGAGGCTGAATTTCTGTATTCTCCTTCAGCACTGGCAGTACTTGAGACCCAACTGATAAAACGTCTGAAAAGGATGAGTGCAAGGGCTGGTTCATCAGGTATATGCCGAAGTTTGTCTGAAAAAAGCAAAATATTTATTAAGATGCAATGCATGTTAGAGTAATCAGATCAATAGATGATCTCACAATCCAGATATGCTTAGAAGAACAATATTACTTTAAGAATAAGGAGGTATGTACGATGTCCATGTAATTAAGAACATTCTTAACTCATTAACTATAATAGACTCATAAACAAAAGCTAAGCCCATGCTACTCAAGAAGAATACCTTAAGTAAGTGGATAAAGAATGTAGTATTTCATCATGAGCTCCACAGTATCATGTATGTAATTTACACTCACTCACAATCTAGTTATTTAATGACTGTTCTGGCTTCTTGACAAATACAGTTAATGCATTATCACAAGCAAAGGCTATGCAGAGTGAGAACGCACGTGTGTTCCAACAGCAAGGAAGTCTTGCATCGTCTACCATGAATGATTCGCTTTGTTAACAGAACTTTTTTCTGTCTAGCCTGTGTGAATTTCCCTTTATTTGTTTTTATGAATATTTTAGTATGTTTTACAGAAAATATTCAGAAAGTTTGTTTTATTAGGTCTCTTCTTATCTGTCGTTACCCACTATCTGTGAGTACATCCTACATAAATATTAGAAATACTTAGAATGTGTCTTTGTGATACTGAGTAATAAAGAAAAGAAGAACAAAAAAACCACTTCACCCACTGACCATGCAACCCTCAGAGGCACCAAAAACCTGATCTGAGCGTCTGCACTCTTATGTGTGCTCTTGTTCTGAAGCAGTTGAATGTTACAGTTGTAGCTGTGTACAGCAAGGTGTGATCTGAAAATGTGACAGGAGACTGGTGTGGTTTTGTGGTTTTGTTTTCCAACAGCAGAGAATTTAGAAGTATGCAAGAAAAAGACCTGTCATCTCATGATAATATTTTCCAAAGGATTAGATAACAGTTAAGATAAAAAAAAAGTAAAGTAGGAAACAAAGAAATGTTGAAGACCATGTTAAATAGATAACTGATTTTTAGACTTCAGAATGTCTTTGATCCTCAAACTGAGGACCTTGGAAACCTGATACTAATTTTCTTGTCCCTTTTTATGGGTTTCAATAAAAAGTATTTTGTTTTGCTAGACTACAGCCAAAATGTACACGTGTAAAATAAATAAATAAATAAGAAAATGAAATTATGTAAAAACAAAACTCTATTATCCTTTTCTATTTCCTGATTACATTTACTACCACTGTTCAGATCAATGATGTTGAAATTGAGGGAATTACATTTAGAGCAGGTTTAGAAAAAAATACTAGGTAAAAGGAATTGAAATAAATTTAAAAAATAGTGTTAGGTGAATTTTATGGAACATATTTGAAAAACTAAATACAAAGGCAGTATGTATTTTCCTGTTCTTCCACTGTATAATTAAATAAAGATACAGCTATGAGGTAACACAGAACAGATTTTAGTCTTTGAAGAATTAGCAAGAGATAGGACTGAGACTTATGCCCAAGTAGAGAAAGATCTATCAAAAAATGCCCTCAGACTCTGAATTTGGGCCTTTCTGTTTAATTTTTAATCCTAAACATCAAAAAGAAAAACAGGCCCCAAGCTAGGGGTTTTCAGTTACTTCAACTATTCCTTCATCTCACTGGCATGTCACATATATAGGATATGAGTGGACCTATCAGACCTACCCTATTACCGACACTTTTTGGATACCAGTGATCATAATAGTGCCAACGCTTGGTGGACACAGGGTATATCCTCATGGTCAGTTTTCTAGCATTTAATACTGAGGAACGACTGCAGCACAGTAAGATCCCAATCATCCAGCACAGTGACTGTTGGATTAACCATGAAGCTAAAATGGTAAGTTAGTAACAGTTTCATCTAAAATATTAAAGTATACAGTGTTATTTTCCATTCTTGCTTTTCTCTTATTTGTTAACAAGCTGTGGGTTCTCTATTGGCATAAATGATGTGTTTCTCAGACTTGTAGTTAACTGGATTCACTTCTTGTGCCCTAGTGCAAAAATGTCAGTTGCTATAATTCTGTTGTTTTAAAAAATCAGGCAAACATAAAACAAATACAGTAAAATTACTATTAGTTCATGCTACACTGCATTTCACAGAGGAAGGAATTTTATAACTCATGCATGGAAATCAACTTATTTGATACGTGAGAAGTTTCTATTTATATTTACTGTATTATCATATTGATTTAACTTAAATTGAGAATAAAATAAATCTGGGCACATTGTTCACTGTGGAGAACTTAATTTACCAATTTTTTTATTATTGTGAAAAATTATTTATTATTATTATTGTGAATAATAATTTTTTAAATGCACAGAATTATTGAAGAAAAGGCATGTGTGGAACTGCTGAACTCTTTTTTTTTTTTTGGTGAATGTTCTTAAGACTAAAATTTAGCTTGTGATTACCAGAAGAGGATTTAACATCTTTTAAGTAAATTTCCTTGTTTATTCAATAATTACAAATAATGACTCAGCAGGTACTGATAACAGCAATAACACACACAACCCCCCCATCAAAAAACCACAAAAGCTGTGCATCTGCCACTTGAGCTCTGTTTCAAGAGAAAGATAAAATGCAGAAATTGGCCCTTCTCACATTCCACTGATGAAAAATGAAGCTTTCAGACTCAGAGATTACAGCCTGCAGAGTTATTACAATGAAAGTGCATAATCTCTCCCTGCTGCTCCTACCTTTTCCTGACTTCAAGAGCATTTTACTCTGCATATAATCTCCCCAGAACACACCAAGAACTGGGCAGGGAATGCTGGACTGTGAGTTCTGTGGCTTTATCTGCTCAGTATTCTGATGGTAGTAGAGACTCTTTCCATCACTGTTAAACTTCAAAGGGACAAAAAATGTAAAGTGTCTTGATTAGGAAAAAGCACAGCATTTCACTGTTGGGAGGAATAGAGAAAACATACTTATTCTTGCCAACAGTGAATCATATGATAGTCATCACACTCACTGAAAGGAGGAGCTATGAAGTGCTGTCATTCTTGCATGTTGTTTCACGTTCATTTACTGGATCAACAGCAGCATGCTCTGCTCAGATATTCACTGACAGAGAAATACCTTGGGTGCACTATCTCCTTTTGTAAGATAGAAACCTGAGGTGCTATATCTGACAAAGGCTGAGGTGAGATGTCTTTAAGCTACAGCTCCTGAAAAATCAGTTAACACAGACCAGAACTTGGTACAGATATACCCTGACAGAATGTGTAACAAGCACATAAATCATATTGTGTGCTAATACTTAGCTTTGGATGGATAAATTCTGGATTTTGCTCCCAGATGTAGCTCTGAGCTGCCATCTCCCAGTAGATAAATTTACCTGTTCAGGTTTGCTCACTTATTCATACAATAACGTAACCTCTCTCTCATGCAAAGGTTTGAGAGATGTAGTTATTAGAAGTGATTTTTTTTTTTTAATGTAAGGATGTTTTATTAGCTTTAGATTGACTTATTAGTGAAGCCTTACAAAATAGGAGAGCGGAAGTATTCACTTTCAACATGCTGACTTTTTATATTGGTAAAAAGGAAAATTTTTAAGTTGGTGGCCAAAAAACCCATATCGTTAAGTTGAAAATATCTGGACAGCAAAATGTTTTCTTAAGGACTTATTTTCCTTTGCTCTGCCTTAAATAAATGCATCTTCCAGTTCAGCCACCAATAAGAAAATACAGCTATATTATTTCAGAGGACTATTAATTACAACAATCACTGTTTTCAAATGTTCCAGATATTTGAAGGAAAAGCATTGCATAGTTAAAGCCCTGCATTACTATGAAAATAATGATAATGATGCATAAGATATGAGAAGTCATTTGCTATCCTTGCTAACATCTCAGTAAGCAATCCAAAGGCACGGCATCTAATTCTGCAGGATAAGAAACTCTCCCAAGGCACAATGAGATACATAAAGGACTATCAACAGCCCACTGGGAAAAAAAGAACCACAAGCCTTTTAGTGCATGAAGGCATGTGCAAACATAATGCAAACAATTTCCCTTGATGTACTGCTATCCATGCATTTAGGCTGGGGCAGATTGCTAATGCAATTCCCTTTGCTACCTTGACTCCAATCCCACCTTATAGCACTGCTGAAAATCCACCCACAGGGCTTCTGCTATTGTTAGTGCTGAACTGCATCTGCAAATTCCCGAAGACAGGCAAGAATTCAGTGTTCTCCATTTTCCATCCATGTGTGTTTTGCATCAGGTGGTGAGGCATGTGAAACAGCATGTGGCTATTTTTATGCCATTTGCTTAATGTAGTTATCTAGTCTTTCGTAGTCTCCTGCAGTAACAGAGAGCACTCTGGTACACAAGGAGAGCTTATTTTCCTTTTCATCAAAAATTACAGAAGGAATCCTTAATGAGTGTTTCTTCAGAAAGCAGAGCTCAAGTTCACTTTGTAGAGGTGTTTGCAACTTATTTCAAACAATGACATGAAAGGTTTCATAAAAAGCAACTGGCTAGGCTTCAGCACCATGCTTTACATATATCAGGAAACATGCAAATTGTCTCTGACTAGTTACAGTAGCTGGTTCTGACTTTCTGCTACAATCCATCAATGCAAAGTTCCAATCTCTCAGCTTGGAGCAACAGGATCTCACAGTCTCAGAGGGACGGAGAAAAACAGGATTTCAGAAATAAATATTGAACTACCTCTTACTAGCCTTACATTATTTATCTCATTATTGAAATGAGATTATTTATCTCATTCATTGGTGGTGCTGCTATGTGGGCTACGAGTTTGATAAATTTCAATGTATTTGTACAGGTTGGTGTTCTTGGAAAAAAAAAACAAAACAAAATGGTAAATATTGACAGCTGGCTCAGTCTTCTATGTGCAAAATCTTTAATGTTTTGACAACCTTTCAAAAAGCTGAGAAGTTAGCTTAAATGTTATTTTGCTGCAATAGTTTTTTTGTAGTTTGAATCAGATTATTGACAGATGGAAGCAAACACTGCTAAATTCCTGCACTGAATCCGCATCTGATAAAAAAAGAAAATGAAGTCTATTAGATGCCTCCTTAGCAGAAAAGCACATCCTAGATACATGAATCACCAAAGCATTAGCTCTGCAATTTAACACAGTCACATGGACTCAATGTTCTTTCTCCCTCCCCACTGTGAACTGTGAAAGTTTTGGATCAATGTTCTGTGCTAGGCCTGCTGAGCATGCTGAAAATGTCATAGTCCTCTGGTGCTGCTCACTGATAACCAGCTGGTGATCATCACCCCACAGATGGCTTGCAGCAGGGATGGGCTCTGAGGTCTTCTCAGACCAGTTCAGGCAAAACTACCCGTTCAAACTATCTCTTTTAGCTGTCTGCTAATACAGTGAACTCAGCCTTATGCAGAGCAGGGCATGCTCACAGGATCCCATCTACCAGCAGCACTGAAGGCTGGGAAAAATTAAAAAAAGCTGAAGGTCTGTTTCTTTGCAGCGCGAATATTGCCGTGCTGCTGAGGAAGCAGAGCTCTCCCCTGCGGTGATCAGCAGCGCTGTGCTCTGCCTCGCCTCGCCAGGCGGCTTTTATCCAGCGCCAGCTTGTTCTCAAGAGGCTGGATTGCTCTTTTTGCCTTGTCCTGTTTGAACGAGTTACTTGGTACTAGGAGTGCTTGTATCAAGAAAATCTTTGCATTGCTGAGTTAATCAGAATGAAAGAGGAGCTCATATTTGCTGAGGGAAACATGCAGAAGGTGCTTTGCCTGTCCTGAGAATCTGTATCCCAGGTAAGGTTTTGTAGCCATTGTCTCCCCGAGTACAGAGTGCTTTCCCTCTACAGAGGATTTAAGTCATGATCCAGTAAAACCCATACGGGCAGAAAAAGTCCTCTGCATACCACACCCCACGTGGCAGCTGAGCACTGTCCCTGCCCAGAGTGTCCAAATGTGCTCTGAAGTGTCCCAGATGTTCCAGCTGTGGCTTAGCATTACCCAGAGAGGGATGTTGTCCTCAGACTACCCACCATGGCATATGTACGGTGGTGATCTGGATACCAGAGCCTGCTGTGCAACTCTAGGTCACCTCAGGTCAGTGGGAAGCTGTGCCTAGACAGCCAGCCCTGCCTGCGTGCCTCTCCCCAGCTCACTGCACCAGGCGCTGGCTCTGAGGCGGAGCCAGAGGAGCTATTCACCAAGGATAACATTCAAGGAAAATGTAGCTCTTTGTTTGCTTAATGAGTCACTGAGACGAATCAATTTATTATTTTTTTTCCCCAAACATATAATGCACTATTTGTAAGTTGTTTGTGCATTGTTTGGGTGAATGATTTTCAACCTATTTGTTATTGCTTTGCTCCAGTGCTGTGCCCAGTCTCCGGTGTTTGGTGGGTACTGGTGAGACTCCCGAGCCCTGACTGGCTGAGGAACTTTTACAACACAAGCTTAAAGAACAGGAAGCAATGAATTTTGAATAAAAATTTTCAGCTAAATAAATACTTCTGAGGAGATTTGTGAAGCTTTTGGGATGTCGAACCGTCTAGCTATCATCTGAGCACTCTCAGTTCCAAGAAGCAACACAAACTTAGGAAGCAGAAGGACTCCAAATGAACTTCTGTATTTCACACTAACTCTCCAGTCACTTTCTTACATAATTATTCTCCACTTTGACTACATTTATATCTGCTCTGTTTTTCCTGTTAACTTGTTTCTCATGGTAAGAATAAAGTTTAGCCTTACAAGCCAACTGTATAATTTCAAACACTTTCAGATTTTTCTGCATATTTCTTTTCTTAGAAGATATCAGTGCATCAGCTTGTGTTTTTAAGACCAAAATAAACACGTTGTAAGGAGGTACATGCTGAATAAAACAAGCACAGTTAAAAATAATGCATATTAATAGTCCCTTTCTGAATAAAAATGTGTGAGTATTTTATGGAAATAAACCAGGTCATATTTGGGTTGTAAGTGCATCCTCTTTTTACAGAAAAAACAAACGGTAGCCATTAGCACAACAACTTAACTGTGAATATTCTCTCAGCAGATATTTCATTACGCATGCCATAAAGTCACTACATCTTTCATTTCAGCCATTTTGAAGTACTGTACTGACCTTTCTGCCTCTGGCAGCAGACAGAGACTGCAGAATTTCTTTGTTTCGTTCCCCAGACTGTTGATCAATGCATATTATTTGACATCTGCTACATGGACCCACAACCTGAAATTTTTGTTAAAGAAAGTTCATGGTTGTATATCAAAGCAGTACGACATTGAACAGTACAAGCTTCTGACCATCACAATATCTTAAATGCATACCTTTTGCATACCTGTCCTGTGGGCTTTTTATGCTTTCATTATGTAAAAGGTCAGGCCTGTTCATGTAAGGTAGTAGGCACATTTTCAAAGGGTCTACTTGCAAAAATCTCACTGAATTTTTAATTGACTTTTTTCTTTTTTTAAGGAAAACTTTCCCAGAGACAGAATCTGAGAAATACTAGACATTTACATGTTTGTATTTCCTGATGGCTTCCCTTCATCTCCAGGGCTGTTCATCCAAAGGACAACTGAATACAATATTAAGCTAGTGCCTCAGGATTTTCTTGGGACTGTTTTAGTGCAGCCAAGATGCACAATATCTTTCTTATATGCATGGTGCTTGTAGACAATCAGAATGTAAAATGTGAATTTTCATCAGTTTACATAAACAGAAGCAATAATGGATTGATCCTCCATCATGTATTACATGTGGTGTTAGCATCCATATGTAATCATTCTTAAAGCTGATTGTTGTTTGAACTAAGATATGCTTTTAGGGTTAAAAAAAAAGGAAACCTGCAACAAATTTCTTAATAAGGCATTAAAATGAAGAAGGAAGACATATTGCACTTTCACTTAACATTGCATTCCTAATTTTAGCAAAGCTGTACATTATAGAAACTCTTACAGTATTCTAGTATACAGATTCTATTTTTGTAAAATGTGTCATAAATTTCAAATAAGGTAAATAAGATACTTCGGTTTTTTGAGATGCATCTAGAACTGCTTGTACAACTCTTCAGTGTAATCATCAAAACCGTACATCAGCTTTTTTTCAGAAAATTATTTTCCACAGACTTATTTTTTTAATTAAAAGAGCAACAAGGCAGAGAAGGAAATATTTTTCCCTGCTTTGCTTTGTTCAACAGCTTCTTTACCATTTTCCTCACATCAAGGAGCATTAGCATAATTTCTACTGCTACTACATAAGTATCTAAACAAGGACCTAGCAGAGACAGGAAAAGACAATACAAGTTCCATAAGCCTTTCTATTTTTGGCTTGTGTTCTTGAAGTGTATCAATGCCAGAAACAGGAATGCCTTTTTATTTTGCAGTTTTACAGTAACTTCTCAACAGGATCCTCAGCAGAGCTCCCTAGTGTAACTCTAGCCTCTAACAAGCTATACTCCTACTTATAGGAATTTTTCCTCAATATTCTGTAACTCATCTTACAGCTTACTGATCAAAGTACACATAAAAAGAGAGCAGATCAGCCATGCTTTCCACCCCTGCTCAAAAAATTTCTTACAGTATGCTGATCAGAAATAAATAGGAGTGATGTGTATCATAGCTTCTAGATTTGACCTTGGCACTTCTGTAATTCACACCTTAATTATCATCTCTAAGAAAACAATGAATAAACCACTTCTTTAATTTTGGGCAATGACTCTTCAAATACACATTTCACATCTCATGGCCAGACAAATTCAACAGAATATGTAATACATGTGTACATCATTCCCTTAAGTTTCAGTGTAGCTTCTACAGATTTTTTGTTAAAAGGTTTTCTGAAGAGAATGCATTTGCAAACAAGTCTGACTCTTCAGCATTTTCCTCACAGTACAAAGCACATTGTGTTGTTAGATATAATATAAAGTACAACATGCCAAAAAACCCTACCAGGTTAGAATTAGAAACATTCTTTTAATGGGGCTTAAGGCAAGATGTATACAACAGAGGGCAATAGACCACGAGTGTTCACTTGAATTCATGTCCAGTCTTTTGGCAATAAGTTGCTTGATGTGCTTGAGGCTGCATTTGGACTACTGTGCTTAGCAGCAACCAGTATTCTCTCATGACATGCTGGCTAACTATTTGCAAACTCTACCTCAAAATAGTGATTATTATTCAGTTTAGATGGACAGAGGTGGGAAATGTTATGAATTATGAAATTTAAAAAAAAAGGAGTGGAGAAATATGTCAAAATCTCTCAATTGTATTGAATTATGTTTGTCACAGGTCGCATCACGTTAGTTGTTTTTTTTTCACACACTTCATAAATTTCATCTGCACAACCCATGCTGCCCATGTTTCAGTCAAAGCCTTGCAAAACTTAGTCTGTCTCCAGGGGTCAAAATACTTTGTGATAGACTGGGACAAGGACAAGAGAAAAAAGTTCACACCTGGAATTGCAGGGCACCTATTGAAATTTCAGCCCACTCTTCTTCCTCAAAGGACTCTGGTGCACTGACGACAATGTTGGCACGGAAGCGCTGGATTAATTCCTCTATTTCCAATGGCTTTTCCAATCTGTCTCATAGAGTTGACAAAGAAAAAATAAGATCTGTTAACTATTTCTGTATAGATGTGTTGTAAGGATGAAGTGCCTCATACGATTAAGTAAACACTTCTCCAGAATAATCTGGCCTGTTTTATTACAAAGGCTATGGAAATGGCACAAGGTGTTTAACTATAACTTTTAATCTTTGATCTATGATATGTAACCCTCTAGGTGGCTTTTTCAGAGGTGTAACCTGGAACTGCAGGTATGAAAGCATATAGACAGGTGACTGTGAACAATGCTTATGAGAAAATTCCTTATTAATTCTCATATGTAAGGATAATGGTAACAAATGAAAAGATCTTTTGAGTTAGCAATCATTTGACTTGTTAATTGTTCCTAGAAATAGAAGCTTCTAGAATAGAAGGCAAATAGAAATTTATTCTGCACATGCTGCAATGGCAAAAGGAACAAACCCAGCAATTGCTGAAGGTAAAAAAGGCCAGTAAAGTCATTTTATGACAGAATATATCCCGCATATTATTATTATTATTATTATTTGCCTTTGGGATGCAGCATATTGCACCAAAGGATAGATGTTTAAAAAAAAAAATTAATCTCTGTGTGGTGATATTTCTGCCTCTTTACAAGCATTTGAACTGCCAGAGTGTTGATTTGTGTCAGTGTGGAGAACATATATGAGACAGACAGAGCAGAGGACTGCATAAAAATATCAGAAATCTGGCTGCATCTTTGAATTGTCATTCATTTTTCTTCTACAGGAGAATTTGACCAGTACCAGGGAAAAAAGACAGCCCTAAAATTTGCAAGAGAGTTCTCTCAATGCCATTGTTAGTGGAGTAGAACATTTCTTTTTGCATTATGTATTAAGGACATGAACAATTTTTGATACCCCATCAGCTGTAGTTTGACAACTTTTGGATATGACACCCTAAAGCAGAGGCAGAAACCTGGACAAGTAACGAAGAGAGAAGTTTCTGTTCCCCTCCCCCCAAAAAAAAGAAATAGTAAGGACATACATTAAAATGAGGAATAACATGCAAAATCAAAATAAGAGGGAAAATAACAGTCTTGGTAGAAATGGCATGTAAGGTGAAAAAAGAGCTGGGTTTTATTTCAAATAGTTTGGATGATCTTTAGGAGACAAAAGTGCATAAGGATAAACTGCCTGTGCAGACTTAGTCAAACCACAGAAGCCCAGCCCCACCAAGCCTCTGCTGTTCACAAGGGCTCTAGAAGTGTGGAAGGTAGGATGGAAAGATGAAGGGCTACAGGTTTTCCCTCTGCCACAAGTAATCCCACGGTTGAGACACAATCCATAATAACAGCAGGAAGTGGAAGCCAACAGCAGGTGTAGATTATGCCAGTCCTCATACAAACGATAGCAGTTACTACGTTCAGTTATGCTGCTGTGCTTCCTGGTTTTGCTGTGGGCTCTTGGAGCTTGGTTGTTATCTAGCCTCTAGTTTTGAATGTATTTTTTAAAATATAAGTGCCTGCCACTCCAGCCTGTATTAGTGTGGTCATCAAAAGCCCCAGTAACCTCAGAGCTGGGCCTACAGTGTCCTAAGCCAGCCGATGAAAATTGCTTCTAACTTCTAATTTATCCCCTGCTGCTGAACTCAAAGACTGCAATGCCCCTATTCTTAGTCTCGCTGCCTTCAACCTGCTCAGGTTCACTGCCAGAATACCTCACCTCTCTTGCACCTACCTCCACCCCTCAGAACTGCTTACAATTACTCAGCAACATGTATCTGAGTAAATTCCCATTATTTCTTCTCCCTCAAAGTAGGCATTAGTTGGATGCAGTGACAGGCACCTTCGTCCTTCAGATCTCAACAAGGATATGCTTTGAAAATCAGTGCAATTTGCTGAAGTCAGTCTAAGTACCTTGGACTTTTCACGGCAATGGGCTCTGCAATGAAGAATGCACTAGCTATATTTAACAGGCAAACTTTAAAATAAATATGTATATCTTCTAACAAGAACATTTGAGCATTAGGCCAGGCCATGGGGATTTTCATGGAAGCAATCAGTAAATGAAACACCAGAGAGACTACTGTCTGCATGTACATGTAACTCTCCAACAGTATGATACGTTCTAATTTTTAATTGAATTGCTGTTTCTGTTTTAGGTCACCTCTCAAGATCCAAGTGCAAACTGGAAGATTCATTTTTACTTATGGAAGATACAAAGAGAAATTATGAAAACTTATTTGGAAATTGAAATGGTTTTACAAAAATTAGCAACTTTCCAATGAACAAAAACAAACCCACATGCTGAGAAGCTAAATAATACTTTCCACAAAACCTCTAACTTTTAATGCAGACCCATATGTGCAGATTCTTGAAAATACATTGCCCAGTTCAGTATTTGGAAAGCTTATACATTATGATTTAATAGCAGTTGCAGAATGAGGATGCTGCATATCTGAATTCATTTCTCCAGCACCCTGAGAATGGCAAAAGAGGCAGGAGATTTCCAACTTCTGCTGCAGAGCAGGAAGCAAGATGCATCTCAGTCACTATGGCAGCTCTAGTCACATCTGGAGTGTCCTTTGAAGAAAAGGAGATTACAAGCCTAGTGGTACTGGAAGATATTAGGTGTAAAATCAGTGGATCATCTGACATTGCATGTTTTACCGAAGTTCCTTGTACTCCTTCGTCCTCACTCGCTGTTCCTTACTCTTCATCTTTGCACTCAAATCCCACATCTGGAAGGTTCCTCACTGAGTCTCACAATGGTAAAAGTCCAGTCTGAGTAAGGTATGACCGTAAGAAGTGTCCTCGCAAGTAGGTGTAACCCAGCCAGTCAAGAGTTAAAAAGAGTTAAAAGAAGGCAGTAACTCTCACTGAGCAAGGGTAGTCAAAATGCTGAGAGATGGACAGATTCAAACCTTTCCCATACATTTTTCCCCACAATATTCTAAAACTGTCCAACTGTCTTCTCCCAAAGTAGGAAAACCCTCAGACCTCCAGTGGTCTGTATTGATGCTTCATTCAGTCAGTGAAGATACTGAAGATACGCACACATCCTCCTACAAATATTCCTTTTCTTTCATAGCAGAAACTTCAATGCAGGGGGCATGTTTGGTGGGTGACTAAGAGGAGGTAGGATGGCTCCAAGAAGAGGCAGGGAAGTTTTGTGAGACAGGAAAAGAGGGCTCACAGACAAATTCCGAGGCTGTGGGATGCACAGCTATGATAGAGGCCTTGAGGGAAGATTTTCTGTGGAATTTGAACCTGTCTTAGTTATATTCAAGAAACAACAATTTCCTATTGTCATTGTTTGAAAATTTGGTTGGTAATGGGTTTGCTGTCTTTCAACTGTGGGCTGACAGTGTTTCATTTGCTGCTTCTGTCTCCTGCTTTTGTATAAGTAATATCAAATTCAATTAAGAAATTAAATTATTCCAGTCCTGAAAGTAGTTTTAAAGTATTTCTGTTGTGCATGTTTACTCTAAATCCTAATCGTTCCCATAGGAAAGAAATAATTTAGCCAGTAGTAAGATCTTGTATTTTTACCTGCCAGTTTTTTTATGCTGAGAAAACCTATTTATCCTTGTTCTTCTGACAAATAGAAACTGGTTGGTTCCAAATAATCTCTTGCCACCAAATCATTTGACAAAAATGCCATTAAAGTTTTCTTAAAGATGACTGGTAGACAGATTATGTTCATGGATTTAATCCAAATTTTCAGAAGTCATAGAAGAGTTAGTAATTATAGAATTTTCGTAGCTGTATATTTGTTGACCACTGAAATGTAACTATTCATAAATTTCCACATAAAACAGCTATATTGGCATCTTATGAAAAGATTCTGGAATCCTACATCACTAAGAGATATTTGGAGACAGAAGGTTGTTACCTTGCAGAAATGTGTTCTTTCAGCTGCAGAATGCTTGCCACGTTTATCAGGAGGTATTGTGCTTCATTCACGAGAGAGAGTGAGATGTTTTTAGCAGATGACAGACCTAAAAAAATCAATCCAACATTCTAAAATGACCATTAAAATTAGTAACTTCACCCCATCTTTCCTTTGACCTTACTTATTCTCATTAAAAATTTATTCATTGGTTCCAGATACTAAGGAAATACTCCAAGAATCTCCTCAAACCTGTAAATGATAATGATGCAATATATTTAGAAACTGACACAGAGCTGAGATTTTACCAAATTTGTAAAACAACTTACAAGAGCAATATCTATGTATTTTCGATGCTCTTTCATTTCAATTGTCTTTCAATTATTTTTATAACAAAATTTAGTCTCTCCAAAAATTACTTGATTCTTAGATTTTTCATGATCACTTTTCAAAATGATCATTGAGTTTCCAGACAAAATCATGGTCATGATGATTACTACCCCCACTGCCCCCAGACTGGTGTATCTGTACATTTTCACCAAATTTAAGAAGTAGAAGGGCAGCAAAAAGTCAGTTTTGGTATAAATGTGCCTACTAGATCAAAAGTGGATGACTCTTTCAGCCTTTATCAAGGTAGTTATATACTCAGTAGGAAGTCCATGAGCCTGATGTTTGCATGAGGAATCACAAATATTTTTAAGAATGACAACATACCTTTTGTATTTTTCTGATGTGACTTGCTTTTCATGTCTGAACTTTGTCTTATCAAGTGACATGGACGACCAAGAAACCTAGAGAACCAGCCAGCAATTCTTTCTCCACAGTCATATGTTTTTACCCTATCATAAGAAAAGGGGAACTTCAAATTGGATTGCCCAAACATTAATTTGTAAAACAGAAGGCAAATTGAAAAGATGTTTATTCCACTTCTTTCAATACAAAATACAGAATCCATATGGTCTGATGAGTGTCTGATGTGAAGTTACTCTTGAAGTTAACATTCACGAGATCTAATTTAGCTTTATACAGAAAATTACTATGGAATAAAGGATTAAATAATGATAAAGTACAAGACACTGACTCTGAAGTAGAGGAAGTGGTAGCCCCTATAACAACATTACAATACAGTGCTATGAAAAAGTCACACTCTAGTCTGTGCTTTTTACTAAAACAGAGAGGAGTGATCTGAGGTGAATTTAAGATTGTCCCTCTGTATGTAATTTTTAATGATCACATCAGGTACAATGATGTCACTTCCCTAATTTAATTCATGCCAGTACAGACATTCCACTCTAAAACATGGCTCCACTTACAGAGCCCATGTGTTTCTCTGTCTAAAGATGATTTACATTACTTGTAAAATGCTTAGTGAGTTATGCAAGCTAGCAACAAAATTGCCTTCTTTATCTGGATGCAAACTTTCCTAGAGGGATTTTGAGATCACCTCTCTCAGTCCAAGGAGGCCACGGATCAGACATTGGGAAGTGATCCTATTTGACATTAGATTCCTTAGCCCTGAGTAAACTTACTGTCAATCTTCCAAAATTCAGGCATCTAGTTTAAGTCAGTTGTCTGGGTTCCTCCCACGGATAATGGAAAGAAGTAAGTAGTTCCCATTTATATTAGATCTCAGGATGGGATGACTCACTGTGGGAGTGTTCAGCTCTCTCTACTGACTACAAAAGGAGGTTTGACTGATACTGAACTTTAAAATTGCATAGGCAGGTAAGAGGAATGCAAATTCTAATGCTGATCTAGGGAGGAAGCTTGTAGCAAGGAAAGAGAAGTAGCTGTGGTCCTATGCTCACCTTGTTGTCCTATCCAGCCAAAGAAGTTAATCTGCATGGAGACCATCTGCTCTGTGAAACAAGTAAACAGCTACTCACAGCAAAAGATGCTAAGCCCAGGATTGAGAGAGGAAGTAGCTTGGCTTTACAAAATGCTTTGTAGGGTTCAACTGAATTACAATGGTAGAAAGCCAGCACAAGTGAAATCAAAGAGATTTTATAATCCTGCAGGGATCAGGTATCTCTTCAGAACTTGTTCTGAATTTTGAATTATGGTGTAGCTTTGTATTCCTCTCCCCACTCTGATACTGGACAGATGTCAACCACAGCTGCATCTAGCCAGTGATGTCCTAGAATGGAAATGGTACTCTGATACTATGAGATATAGGGACTGTGTCAAGAAAGAGGCCAAAAGGCGAATGTTCATATGAGATTTCACAGTCTGAATTGAGTGGTTCTTGTGTCCTTGCCAGTCACTGTGCTAGGGAGAAGGTTGCTAATGTGAAGACATGAATGTTCCATGGTAACAGCACAAGTGGAAAAAAATCCCCAAATATTTTTTCCCACCCTAACAGAGGTGCTAGGGGTGTTTAAAATATCCCCTGAGCCAATTGCCCCTAGTAGCCTGTTGAGGATTAATACTGTATAAATCAGGAACATAATTTTGCTTTCTATTTGTATACTTACTATTTTGAGTCACTGTGGTTGAGTTAGACTCACACCATTCTTGGTTTTTCATCAAATGTCACTGTGTAATTTCTGTATCCCAAGACTCCTGTGTTTTCAAATTGCTTTCCCTTATTGTCAGACCATTTTTTGAGCATGTACCATCATCTCTTCAAGGTCTAAGTCATTCTGTTGTAGCTCAATTCTACTTGTTTTCCGCTTGTGTTTATTTTGCAGAGTATAACTTTACATCTGTCAGCATTACATTTCATTTGGCACATGTCAGGCAATTTATAAAGGAGGGCCTATTTCTCTCAGATTTTACTTGCTCTTTGCCTTGAGTTCCCCACTCATCTTTCTATTATGTCATTTAGTTTCAATGCGTTACAACTGGTCCCTCTAGCAGGGTAATTTACAGAACAAGAAACAAGGACGGATGAAGTCTGAATATTGATCCCAAGGGATATAATACACACAACGGGCTCAGTTCACCTTGTTCTTAACTACACCTTTGTCTTCTTCTACCGCTCATACCCTTCCCTATCTCTTTGATATTCCAGCCTGTCAGAGAGGGTTGTGTAACTATTTCAGTAGAGCAGTAACCTTGAGCATTTAGGGTTTCTGCAGCATCAATAACCATAAAAACACTAGCTTCTACTTGCATCTGTCCACTGTTAGATATTACACCAGAAAGCCATGTCCCTCTGATGTATCACCTGCTGATGGACAACCCCTGCTGAGAGTAACACTGATGAACTGCTTCAGAAGGGAAATCTGGGCTCATTAAACATTAGTGGCTGCTGTAAAATTACACTTCCTCACAGGACTGCTTGCAGATTCTACATCACGTACTTTTCTCAGGTATCTCAATCTAAACTCAGAGTAAGCTTACAGAACCAGATGACATCATAGCGTCAGAGTGTAGAATTAAAAAATGGAAAATGCCCTCACTAGGGGTTGCTTTTGAATAGAAGCCTTTTAACAAAGACTTTTAGTCCCACTACTCACCTCAGACACTTTGCAGAAAAGACCCCAGATCACAAATCACCTCTTGTCCTACTGCAAAGCACTGCTTTTCTCATTTTTTTTGGCCCTGGAGGCTCCCCTGCTGAAACACTGGAACCTGGCACTAAGTACTGTTGGATCTTTGAGGAGTTTCAGAGCCTCATCAATGTTGTCCACTCATTCTCCCTTACTTCCTGTTTGTTTATTTATTTGCTAATCATAGTCCAGTCTCTGCAATTTGCCTTGTATATCCACTTTCTTTATCACTCTGTCCTTTTCTTCCTCTTCAGAACTCTAAGCAGTTTTCCATGAAAATTTCCAATTTGATACAATAAAAATGACACAGTCAGTTACATGAAATAGAAGCTACAATAAATAGTATGGCAGCAAATTTTATGCACACAAAGAGAGAGAGAACCTAGGCTATTTTACAGCCAGTAATAGATGGGCTTACCATGGGGAGGCTAGGGATGAGTCAACACTAAGGGAAGTGGGACAGATGGTTAAAACAAATGACTCTTGGGTGAATTCCACTACCTGAGGAAAATACATTTCTGAGAAAAAGATCCTCTTTATCATCTGAATAGTTAGTAGAAAAGAAGGAGAAGATAATTTTCTGCATGGCTCCATGGGGAAAATGCCAGGTCTTCTGCTGGTTTGTTTATGTGTTACTCTCAGAGAAGCAAATGTAGAGGGTTAGAAAGAATTAGTATATCTTGGTTAAAGGAAGACATAAATCTTTAAGTGGCTCTTTTAGTTTGAGTTACCAAGAGGCTCGTTGAAAAGAAACATAGTAGATAATGCAAATGTACTTTAGGAGGGCACTTGATACACTGCCACTCAGAAAACGTAATGAGATCGGGGGAAGTTCTTACAAAATGTGATGGATAAACACTTAAGTTCACCGGTAGGAAATAAATTTATTCATAATGCTGTATTTCAGTGCAGTGCTATGTCTCTTGAATAGAATTGTTATCTAACATACACATCTGCAATCATCCCAGGATTGTTAAGGGAACACTGATCAATATGGGTGGTCAAAAAAAATTAAAAAGGGTTGTAAATATGGAAAGTTGTTTATAACTTCAGAAGGTTCTAGCAACTCTGAATCCATGTAGAATGAAATGGGCAAAGTTGCCAACATCATTACTACTGAACGAGGGAACTGAATTCAAGTCCTGCTGAGGCCCTCAGTTGGCATTTGGAAGTAACTGGGGACACCTCCTTTTCTCATGCTTGGAGCAAGTGAAAAAAAAAAAGATTTCCCTCATTCAAGTGAGTACTAAGTCAGTTTATTGTACCATCCTTCTTCCCCTTTTCCATTTTTAATATTTTTCACTGTTTTCTATCAGACATGCTGGGCATGCCAAATTACCTGTTTAAATGTCTTCTCATAGTCCACTAAGACATTCATTGCTTTCCACTTCCCTGCCTCTTTTTTAAGGACTTCTGCCTCTGTGTGTTCATCTGTTCATATCCTGAGTGTCACTACAGTGATTTTCAGCTTCAATACCTCTCTGTTCTCACTCACCTGTGTGAACAGACTTTACTCTCACAAACCACAGCCTCTTTTTCAGTATTGTCTTCTAGTGATACAGATACTGGGTCCATGCCTAGACGGGCAGAGAACAAATCATATTTAAATAAAACTTTTATGAAAACTTGTAGGGTCATGAAAAAAATTCTTATTTTTGTCCCTGCTCACAATCACAGCAGCCTCACAAACAGCAAATCAAAAAATCTTTTTTTTTTTTTTTTTTGCCAGAATTATATTCTCTGCCTGCAGGTGGCTCCAAATGATAAAGCAAAGTGTAAAGGCTGCAGACGACCTTGGTACTCAAAGCATATTAAGGAATATACAATTTCAGCTTTGAGTAAATTCATTCTCTGTTTATCTCTGGCAACAAAACTGGCACAGAATTACTACCTCAGCTACAGATTCTGTTGAAAGGATGAGTTTTCACTGTTTTGGACCCTCTAGCAAGTCAGGAGATTACATTAAACACTGATGGGTTGGGGGTTTTTTGGAGTAGTGGGATTGAGTGATCTGAAAGATGAAAGATGGAGGAAGGGGGAAGAGAAAAAAGCAGCACCGTCTGTTCAAGGAAAGAAATATAACGTGCCATAAAACTACAATAATTTAAAAACAAAATGTATGGAAACTGCTAATTAGAGAATTATTCCAATCTATTTATCTCCAAGTTTAAACCAGCTGAGAAATCCCTAGTAATGGTCTACATTAACAACTTCTTCCATATTTTTCTTATCTTGAACAAAATGAGCCAAAGAGATGGAAAGGGTACTGTAGAAGCAAAAAGAAAAACTGTACTATTTTTCTCTCTGTTAATTGAAAACAATAATCTTAAATAAAGAACAAAGGGTTTTACTGTGTGGCTGCAATGAATCCAGCTTTTCCATTATACTGCAACATATACCAGCAAAGACTCTGATCCCCATTTTCCAGCATTATAACAGCATGTTTTGATTTTACTTACTTCTTCCTGTTTACACTATTGTAAAACAAATAAGAATCAAGCCCTACCAGCTCTGCAATTTTGTGAAATCAAGTTGTTTTATTTTCTTCTGAAGAGTAATGAAACATAGTTCAGATTCACTATAACACAACTATCAGCTTTGTACCATGCATGTTTTGCAAAAGAGAAAGCAATCTACTTCTTTAGTTAATGATAGTATACTTCATAAGTGAAGACAGAGGGGGAAAAGTTAGGTTCACTCTAGAAAATAATACATGTAATAAATGCTTTGAACTAGCCTGCAACAACCTGAAAAAGATGCCAATGTTATTATTTTATTGACTAGAATTAATGCTCTTGGACTTTGAAACAATTAAACATTATTATTCCTTTCAAATGATTCTAATCCCATTCAAACTGGAAAAGATGAGTTTGAAAGGTTCCATCCTGTATGCACCCTTAGCTGTTATATCTTTTAAAAGTAGTTTCTAAGAAAGGCATACTCACAAAATTTCTTAAAATAGAACTTCAGGGCTTTAAAAAGACCTGTTTTCATACACCAGCAAGTGTGTTACATTTTTATTGAACAGTACACATTTTACAGTGATGTTTAGGTCAGTTAAACATTGTTAATTACAATTTTATTCTATCTTAAGGCAAAAAAATAAAGTAGAATATTGCCAGTTAGTAAAATGTAAAAGCTGTCATTCTCCATGGTCATTTGCTTGATAATAAAATTCACAGATGTGCTCACAGTATTAATACAAAAAATATTCTTATCTTTACAGCTCCTATTTTCAGTCAATGAGAAACATTAGAAGTGTGTTATTTCAATAGACTGAGATATAAACTATTCATGTATATTCTTTCATCAGTGTATGCACTTAATTCCCATTGTTTTTATTGGCAGTAACACACGACTATTTGAAGGCACAATAAACTCCACAAAGTGTAATTAGTTGCTCAGTTTTGCTAGCATCTTTCTACTTCAATATTGTAAAGAGCCTCCTCAACACTCAAAATTTCTCCCACTATGCAGTGGCAAACTAAGGCCCAACACGCCAGAGTAATGCTGATTGTCAGCTAAAATGGAAAGAGAGAAATTAATCTTTTACAGTAATGCATGCTCAGTCAAATTCTGTTTGGCTGACTTTTGCGTAGGTCAAGAAGAAACCCAGTGTAATTTGTGCCCCCATGTTTTTGATGGAGCAGGACAAGAAGATTTCCCTTGATTCCCACTCAAGTAATACGACTTCTGGAAATAAAGGCACTTTTCTGGCCACCTTTAAGTTGCTGGGAGCTAACCACTAACAACTTCAGTTGAGATACAAGAAGTTGTTTTTCTCCACAGGGGCTGACTTAGAGTTAGGTACACTGATTTTCTCTAAATGGGTTCTGTTGCAGCAAGGGTTTGTTACACTCTTCACATAAAAAAATAGGAAATGACTGTTAAGAACCACATAACCTAAGAAAATAAGTCTTACGAAATTAACAAATGCAGTTTCTCAAAACTAAAATCTCACTCTCTCCGCTGAAGAAAAGTACAGCCAGTGAGAGACTAGGTGCAAGCCCTTTCTCTCTCTGTGCTCTCACCCTCTTCCCAGGGATCAGGGAGTTCCCCAGCTGCCATGCGAGCCAAGTAGTTTTGCAGGCATGCCAGGGAAAGATCCTAAGCCTCCAGGCAGTTTTGGCCTTGTGTAGAGCCTCACTCTGCTGTTCTTGCTACTCACAGTGGTGGCAGGATTGCACAGTGGGCCAGTTAGACAGCCAGGCTGCTCATCCAAGTCTCCTTGTCAGATGAGCTACACCGACGCCCAACATGCAAGGGTTAAAGAAAGAACCTGAAATGGTGTCTCAGCACATAGAGGATTCAGCAAAAGGTATTAAAGTAGTTACTGTCACACTAAATCATGCTGACAATTTTATTTTCTTGGACAGAGAAGACAGAGAATATTAAACCATATTGAAATAAGATAACCATAAACAAATTTTCCACTAATGAAAATTTCTAGAGGAAGAGGAAAGCATGTGCCTGGAGGGGGAGAGAGAACAGACTCATTATGTTTTAAAAGTGGCACAGATAAAGTCTTCACCATAATCTAACAGTGTAACAGCAAAATGTGTTTAAAAAAGGCCCCGGCTACATGGGATTTGCCCCACTTGTCTTTAGGCACTTACCAGAGGCACCTATTCCAGCAGCACAGTTGCCTAAGGCTCTCACTGTTGGAGAGAGACACCTCCAGACAGCAAAGCATGCTCTAGATGGAGATCTGTGCCAGAGCCTGCTCGCACAGTGAGAAAAGCGCAGATGACAGCAGCGAAACTGGCAGAGAAAACAGAGTCATTACAGCCGCCTTGCAGAGGAGCAGGAGGGAGGCAGCTGGCTTGGCTGCAGTTGTCACCCAGTCAGCTGGGAGCCTCTGGGTTTTCACATTCGCTGGAGTAAGGGGATTCAGTAAATGAGAAGAACAGAGAAACTCTGCATGGGGACTGTGAGGGCAGGGGGAGGAGAGATGGAGGAAACAAAACTCATCTTGGAAAGATGCATGCTGCTGTAGCTGAGGAAAGGCAGTTTGGGTGGGAGGCATTCCATGGGAGAAATAACTCACAAAGCAGCCAATCTGGAAGAGACTGGAGGTGGCTGTTAGTCAGCAGGCTAAGTGCTACAAATCTGAACTAAAATTAGCCACTGACACAGGCCAGTAAAGGCTCTGAGCTGCAAAACACCCAGGCTGGCTCAACTGAGTTCTACTGTTCCCTGCCACATGGATCACTGCTCCAGCTTCACATGCAGTGTTCAGCCTCAGGTCCTAAATTAGCAACAAACTACTGACAGGCTGATGACAGTGGTGACAAAAGCAGTAGTGATTAACATGTGATTTTCAAGGAAAGAGTCAACTTATTAAATTAAACTTGTCTGTCATGAAATGATTTTAAGTGGTAGATATGACACTGACACACGTATGTGAAGGGATAAAATAAAAAATTAAAAATTTAACAGTGACAAACGAATCATACATTTAGACTGCTGGAAAGAGGAAAGAAAACAAAATAAATATTGGAACAACTTCCTGCAGATTTATCTGCTCAGTCTTACCCTGCTGGTTTGTATGTGCTCCCATCACTGTGCTATCTTAGGAGCAGTAAGCTCTGGAATAGACTCCCCAAGGAAAAGAGAGCCATTATCTCACTGTCAAGCATTATAAAAAATGCTGCAGGTTGCAAGAACACCATGAGAGTAAAAACCTGCAGGACTATTATAAAAGAGGTCCCAGACCACCTCATGGGCTAGGATTTTGGTATCTAGCATCATTATACAAAGAATAAAATTACTCCACTCTTACACACTGGATGCACCTAAGCAGGCTATAAATAAACGCCAAGGACATTCTTGTTAGATCACACTGGAGATCTGACCAATTACTTTTGGCTGGAAGAATAATCCATAGACTTGGACAATCAATTCTGTGTCGAAATGGTTCTCACTTTCATCAGAAGGAAGGTGACTGACAGTGAAAACTCCAAAAATGACACAAAGTAAAATGTTGGATTTAAAGGCGAATTTCACCCTGGTCCTAACTGTGGCAAGACATTGCAAATCTCAGTGAGAAATGGGTGCCTTGACTGTCATTTTTATCTGAGAAAACTTCTTTCTTACTCTGAAGTATGTCAGTACAGGTGTTATTGACAGGTGAACATACTAATGGATATGCACTTGTCTGAACAAGCACTAGCAAGGAAAAAATGAAGGACAGACTTAAAAGAGCAGAATGAAGCAATCAAAAGGCCTAACAGAGATCAACTTCTGAAAACATGAAGGACAAATGGAGAAAGTTTTGATAAGACATCACACTGTGTCTGCAAGAAAGAAGTATGTGTAGAAAGGGAGATGGTAGGGAACTGAATTTCTAGAAATAACTAATTCTTAATCACTTGATAATTTAAAAGTTATAGGAGAAGGCTGTCTGTGCAGCTGTACTACAGAAATTTGAGGTGCAAGGTGCTCCACACAGAATTGAAATTAATTACTGATAACTTTTCAAAGAAATATTATAGAGGGAAGAGTAGAAAGCAGTACTGTGTGCGCCAGTGAGCAAGTCTGGAATCCCTAAGAAGAAAGTAGATTGTGTTTGGGATCAGAAGCACACAAAAAAATCACATGATTAGTGGAAGTATCCAAATGTACATTCGAGAAACCTTTTTCAGACAAAGGGAACCAACTGGTTAGATTTAATTCTACAGAAAGTTCTCAGACAATTGAAGAGGACAACAACTGTAAGGTACAAACAGAAAGGAGACTGTAGCTACAGATCCACTCATACAGATTTCTAATAAAGGTTGAAAAATCTTAAGATAGGTTCCCTTGTTTTGCTCTAGCTGCTGAAAATGTGGGCACTTATATATTATTAATAGTTAAGATATACATGCTGAGTTAATGTTAGACCCCAGGGAAATGATGAATGCCATTCAGACACATGCAAACAGCATTAATAATGACTTTTGTGGACTACAAACCTGCTCCAGTGTTCAGTGCCAATGGCATTGCTAGCAAAATAAATAATTTTCACCCCCAAGCAGCAAAGGGCTTTCTGTAACATTTTACATAGGTTTTTCTTTTCTTTTTTTTTTTTTTTTCCCTCAGAAGGGAATAAAAAGGTTTTTGATAAATCCCAAGAAGCTCAAAAATCATGAAATATTTGCCTGCTAGTGCAAGTATTTAACTGAGCTAAATAATGTCTGGTCCTTATTTTAATTCATACTAACTTCTGCTGGACTCTACCCATCTAAACTCACAGATGGAAGGAGGAAGAGAGATACAAAATGGGAAAGTCTTTGGCCAGGGTGTTTAATGTTGGACTTCTGTTCTATTCCTTTACCTTTGCAGCAATAATAATCCCTTCAGGCTTTGGGACTTCATGACACTAGTCAGTAAATTTTCACATCTATCTGTTCCTTTCTCCGTCCTGGAGCATCCACGTTATGATTGCACACAGGGAATCACTGTCTACTCTCTGCCCACCCCTACAACAATTTAGTAACTCCCCTAGGGCTGTATGTTACAGCTTGGGCTTTTATTGCCCACAGCTGGCACAGAACTTGTCCCTGAAGTCAGTAAGTATGCACAGCATTCAGTAGTTTGGTGGGTGCATGCCAATAAAGAAGGGAAGAAGAGAATATTGTTTACTAACCTTCTGCCTGAATAACCATAATTTTTTGCTTCAGATCAATCGAGGGATTTATAAGACACAATCTTGGCTCCTGCTTCTGAGTCATACAGACTCCATTCTGGTTTACAACCATCCAGTTTCGGTCGTACAACAAACCCTGATTTCCTACTGGCCATTCTGTAACCTGGGAAAGCATCAAGAAGGGATACAAATGTTTAGAAAATGTTGGTTTAGAAAATATTGGCTATATTAATAGATTCATGCTAAAAAGAAAAAAAGAAGGAAAAGATTCCTTTAATGAAACTCTTTGCAATTAGGAAAGTTTGATCAAGCCAATGTCGGCCTTTTATAAGAGAAACCTTAATTGCAAATCAAAGATAAAGATATCACTGCACAAAGCTGACAAAACAAAATCAAATCACTCTCATTTGTTACATACACTTTGATTTAACAGAGCTATAAGAATAAACAATCTCCAAAACACTCTGAAAACTGTTTTCAGTTTTATACTCATCCATTTTTAGGACCTCTTCCCCCAATGATTTTCATTTAACTTAAAAAGCACAGACATTTCACAGGAGTTTTATAAATTAAGGCAAAACCAAACAAACAGAAAGCAAGAAAAATGTGCAATTCAAAATTCTAAAAAATCTTGTTTTTCATAAAATGGGAACCACTTATCAATGAATCTATTTTAGAAAACCTCCACCACTGAAGCTTCTGGTTTGGCTGGGAGTAGTTTCTCCAGATCCCCTTATAACAAAATACATTGACTTCTTTGTTATCTGTGCTTCCATCACTTCTATAACACTTTACACCCAATAGCCCATACAAGCATATTGTCCTTGCTTTCACGTACATTTGTCTTGTGAAAAGGACATCTGTTTCTGATGCTACACAGATGGTAATCTTGAAATCCAAAAAGACAGCAATTTTATTAATGCCTTTGGGTGATAATAATATCTGCTTTCTCCTCCAGAATGTTAAACTATTAATACCATTCTTTTAACATAAAGCTGGCCACTTAGACATATTCTTCAGCTCACGTATGCTTTCTAGGCATATCGAATATGGAGAACAGTGAACTTGGTTGAATTCTTGTAGAAAAGCTTAGCTCCCATGAATTAGCTGATGAAAGACTTTAGCAAAAAATATTGAGTAAAAGATATGACAAGCACAGCCTGATGCTCTGAAGAAAAGCATGACTGGAAGCACTGGTTAGATTAATTAAAAATCACATTTTTGTTTATCATGTGCTCTATCCAGAACTCCACAGAACCCAAAATATCCCATAAACTTTTCCAGTTTTTATAGAAGCCTGCAGCAGTAGCTTGATACTGACAGCCTGACTAGAGAAAACTGATGGCAGGCGTTCTAGGACCGAAAACTTAAAGCATCAAAGCTGAACTCTAAATAATTTGGTCACAGTGCTACCAACCATATTGAATACAGAAAAAATATGGAAAAAATTTTAAGAGAAGAAATGTGTTTTATCAACCTATTTGACTTATTATTTGGCAGTTTTTTTAAAGCAAGCAGGAATGAAAAATTCAGTGATAAAGAGAAACTTCATGTCTGACAGTGTCATCTGAAACCATATCGTCCAAGCACCTCAAACTGCCAGCACCTAAGTTATGTGAACCTTTACTCTGTCTTTTTAGGAGAGAAATCATAGCCCAAACACTGCAATATCAGCTGAAGAACAGATTTTTGTTCTTACTGGAAATTATTCTTTGGAGAGACCAGTATTTTTGGTTATCCTATATAATTAGACTACAAAATGCATTTGAACAGCTGGTGATCATCTGAGAGCTGCAAGAATTTTCTGCTAACAAATCTCCCTTCCAAAACAGAAGATCACTAATTGGTAATAAATCCTCCCATGGATCCAACAGATCTTTGCAGGATTTACAATATATAAAGAACAGAATAAACTAAAAAAGCAGAAAAATAGAAAAAGAACACACAAGCTCCTAGTTCCCTATTGTAATATTCAGCTGTTTTGGGTCCACTTCAGGACAGCAGTCTTATTCAGGAAATAGCTTAAGTGTTTGCTTACCCTTCACTGAAGGCAAGAAGTTGTATGAGCAAAACAAAACATTCTCTTTAATCAAAGATTCAGCTACCTTTTACATGCTGACAGGTATTAAAGGGTAAGCCCAGCTAACTAGGTAGCCGATATTTAAAAATAATCAACACCTTCCACTCAAAATACCTCTGGTAGGTCCAAAATAATGGCAACTAACTCCATGATTCACTCTGAGATGCAGCACGTGACTTTAGGTCCTCAGCCCATTTTTCCCCTTCCTCTGGGTATTTGCCATTGTAGTAATAGTCACACATGTGCCCTGCAGTGAGTCCCTGTCGTCTCACAGATGTCCTCTGTACACTGTCAAGTGCTGTACTCCTCACTTTTCAACTTCCTGTATTGCACATGTTGCTAGAATCCCAATAAAAAAATGTTGCGACGACAAAATAACTGTGTGCTCTGCCTTGGATGGAGAGTTGCAGATGGTTCTAAACAGTCAGGGCTGGTTTGTTGCTAATACTGACACTGGAGATGAGCATGGAAGAACACACTCATGTCTGTTCTCAGCACTTAGCCTTGAGACCTGTGCAGACCGTCTCCTGCTGTTATTTCAAAGAGGCTGAAGGAATTGTTACATAATTACAAGCAACTGAATGGAGAAGTTCAGACAAAGTCTGCCTGCTCTGCTTTTATCTGACACATGAGAAGAGTGGTTCAACTTGGCTCCCTCCGATTACGCCTGAGTTCTTTGCTGAAGACCCAGCAGATATGACATAGGCCGCAAGGACAATCCACAACCCACTAGTATCAGCAGCAGGAGGACAGGCAGGGCACTCAAATGTCACTGAATACCTATATTCAGGCAACCAATACAGTGCAGTAAAGCAAGTGATGACACTTACTACGAAGTAAAACGACGCAGGTTAGCATATGTGGCAGTGAGCAGCACTGCATTACATAGTTTCTAACATGATTCCCAGAAGTTGTCTGGCTGTCTCTGAGTACTGAGACAAATTAGAAGAGGGAGGACAGAAAGAAAGCAGGGAGACCATGATTTTACTGATAGATGCTAGCATACACCTTCATTACCAGCATGGCAGATGGTGATGCATCCCAGCATCATTCAATATGAGGTTCTCTACCTGTCACAAGCAAGGATCATTGCACAGTACAGACAGCACTTGGCATTGTCCTATCCACTTTAGTCCATTTTTCTTACTGTAAATAAAAATATCCACTGCAAAAACAGTTTGGTTGTTTTTTTTTTTAATTTCAGAATTTTCTTTAAAACATTTTTGGCTGCATTTCTCCCATTTTTCACAGTAATGCCATCATGAAGGCTAGCACAGTTTTTGAACACATTAAAGGAATCACTGAATAGGTTTTAAATTATGTAAGCTTAAAAATGTTAGTGGTCTTACATGTAATTTATCCACTGATCACCAGGAATTTGCATTGTATTTTAAATTACAAGCTAATTTGTCTTCTCTGTTGAGATGCAATTTTTTTTGTACTCTGAAATCTCCTGCAAGAATAATACAGTTAATAATGTTTAAAGTCCTAACCTCTTTCACTAGGCACATTGCATTATATAATTATGCAAAATTCAATGACATGAGAGATGTTCGTGTTTAAAAATGCATGTTTAAAACACATTTCTGTGTTGGAAAAGTAGAATAAGGTGGTCTAGGATAGAGGTTACTCCTGTGCTTCTCCCCACTTAATAAAATAATTGTAGGGAAAAGAAAACACATTTAAGAAGTTGAGTTAGAATATTCTGCCCTCTGCTTCCTGCATCATGTGTACAAAACCCATGGAACAACACTGAATAGAGACTGTCCCATGGCCAGGAACACTCTATAAAATGCTGCAGGAATTATCTGACCTGCAGTGAGCTGATGATCTTCATGCCAAGCTTCATCCTTCCAGCTGCCAAAGCACTCTGCGCTCTCATTTTCTCTGGAGGTCAAGCACCTCTCATACTAAATCACTTAGAATAGAACAGAGAAATCAGAGTTTAGCAGAGGAGGAGATTATGTGACTCTAAAGAGGAGATCTAACAGCTGGGAGTTTGTACTCACATCCTCCTCAAGTTTGTCCTCCTGTCACTAATCATCTGTCCTGCGACCAGCAAGTCAGTGGGCAGATTTCACTGGCAGATGGGCTGGGTCCTGCCCACATGGCTAGGTGGAATTTTCCACTGCACATATTATTTTAGGAAAATGCAAGTGATCATGTAGTTACAATAAAGCCTATTTACTGCATGTGCTAATGGTCTGACCCCCCATACCAGTTGGAGGCCTGCACTTGAACCTACAGATTTATGAGCTTCTGATCTCAAGTATCGAAGTATCACAAGACGAATGAATTTATTACAGCCCAGTATTTAAACTATTTTCATCTTTTCACATCAGCCATCTTAGAGTTACCCCATAACTGAAAAAAATGGAGATCAAATCGAAAATATTGTTCTCAATTTCCAACAACTACAAAGAATCTGGAGTTATTTTAGATTTAAAACATGAAACTGAATTTCAATTCTTTGATTGCAACCAAAGACTAGGAAACAACAAGTTACGTGATTAATACTTCAGAAGTTTATGAGTTTATTGAAGTAAGGAGATAAGTGTGAAGTCTATATGACAAAGATGACTAAGCGAATGGCAAAGGAATAGTTTTGTATACAATTCAGTCCTTTCAAGATAAAGCCTAGAGATTCTGGTATAATCATTATTTTAGAAGGCAAAATGATTTTCAGGACTTCCTTCCCTTTAATTGCGGTGAGGTTTCTCTAGCACATTTTGTTTCAAACTCCAGTGCATGTAGCATGGGTTGTTTTTCCTGTTTCAAGGTGGTTTAGGCTGAAGTTGCAGTAATGATGTATATAGACATATATAGTGTGTGTGTATATATATATATATAGTGGAGGTTGGTACACTCTGCAGTTAGCAATGGTATGGGTATATATATTTAATTGTCTATTACTCTTTGGCAATACAAGCTCTGACAGTGCTTAGCTTAATTGGTTCTAATGTGTTTGATGCTTTGTCAGAAAAAAAAACGGACTTCAAAAATTACTCTAGGCATGAAAATTAAGCCTCATAATGTAGTTTCAGCTTTAATATCTATTTTTAAATTATTCAGATCAGCTAGTGTTAGCTCCACAATCCAAGTTGCCTTGGGTTCCTCTTGTAGTCAATGAAAAGAGATAGAAATATCCAGGAACAATTTATGTTTCCTACTGCAGATGCCTATTTTATGATAAAATGAATTAGCAGATCTGCATCTCTCACTGCTTACAGAACAATGTGTAACTTTAGAGGCATAAACTGAGGTAAGATGAACCCTGTTTTCACTCTAGGCCCATTAACACATGCCTACACAAGAAGTGTGCAAGAGGCATGGGGATTTTCCCCCTCCATATAAAATTGCAGTTCTGTCTGTCAGGGGGTAGTACCAGGTTTGAGAGAATTTATCACTCAGAGTCATTTCCCCTCATAGAGCTTGAAGAGAAGAAACCTGGCTCAGCGTGTGGGGAAACATAAGCTTTCTTTCATGCTGAGGTATGTCTTACCTGCTCCTGGGCAAAATCACTTCAAAGCCTTCTTAGCACTGAATGTTGTGGTATGTATCTCACAACACCAGCCTGCACGTTAAAAATAGAATTTAACCCCAAAGGGGCCTGAATAGTGTTACAACTTATTTCAGCAGCTTCTGTAGTGGGCTTCTGTAACACAGCTATAAAATCTGCAACACTTAAACAAAGGTTAAAAAATTTTCACATGAAATGGGCAATTAATTTGATTTTCTAAACAGTTTGATCTAGTGGGAGGTTAATAAGGGGTGGAAATTGCTTGTTCAGGTCTCATTTAATGCTCAGGATTGTGTCTCTGAATTAAAGACATCATAAGCCAAATCAAATTTAAGAATACAGATGTTTTGTTGATCATTTAACAGTGTTTAATTGCCCAACCTCTTTTTGCATTAAGAAGAAAAAAATCAACCCAAACATGATCAAATCAGCTGAGAAGGCCTATTTGAAAGGCAGAGGATTTGTCTCTGGATTTGATCCCAATTCTCGCTCAGATATGAGACAGTGGCCTACACCAGTAAGTTTTCGTAAGAAAAGTTATATCATTATTGACATTCATTAAATCATTTTCCAGTATGGTACTAAGCAGAGTCACATTCCAGGTCATGTGTGGGCCATACACCTATTTCATCATGCACTATGTAAAAAAAAAAGTCACTGCTAAGGTGATGATATTATTAACTTTGTAAAAAAGCAATTAAAATCTTCAAAGAGTGAACTTTCAAATAGTGCAGCAACACTTAAATGTCATATTTCTGTTGCAAATGTATTTTTAATGATAACATTTCTTTGTAATGTAAATCAGCGGTCTCTCAATTATAACATGTTAATCAAGTTATTTCTCAATTGCTGCCTACCCATCAATGCCTACAAGTCCATCACATGTCATTCTGTAAAAGCATACTAATTACTTGATTATATTTTAGTCAAGTTTTGCAAATCCAACTATTTTCTTCAAGACAGTATATGATGTGCAGATTTGGCTCTCATGGGGGAGGAGAAAGCAGAAGATGTATTTGCACTCTGTAACTTCAGCCTATTGAAAACCCTTCAAAGTAGCCTAACACGCAGGACTTGATCCTAGAAGTCGGAAAAAAAGCGACATGGGTAACCACACACTGCTTCCTAATGTCTCATGCACATGGCCAAGAGGCGTAAGGAAAAACACTAGGTTGAGCTGAATAAATACTTCAGAATGATTCAAAGCACATACCTCAAATGCAGAGCAGGATTTGATTGGGTAGAGGTAAATGCTGGCAACAGTGATGGGCTTGCCACCTTTCCTACATGTTGGCACTGCAGTCTCAGAAACAGCTGCCCTTATGCTTTCAGCCTCAGTCTCCAGTGGCTGCCAGTTGACAGTTGTCTTTGTCGCAGACAGATTACTCCTGAGTTCTCCATCTGAGATTTGTAGTATTGGAGACAATTTGTCTGCATTGTTAAAGCAAGGGAGGTCATCTGGAACAGACTCTATTGTCAGCTTTGTAACAGACTTGAAAGGAGTCTCAGTGTCCGATTTGGAAAGTCTGGTGGCTATGATAAAATTCAAAAAGGTCTGTGCATCTTCAAAAGAAGACATGTAGCCAAAGGATATTCTCACAGAACCAGTGGGACGTCCATCAACTAGGTCTATATCATCTCCACAGACATGGCCAGCCTGGTTTGAAACAGGAAAAAAAACCAGAGAACTGTGATGACACTTTGCTTTATTTCCCTCTAATTTCACCTAGCTATTAATGAGTCTCTTAATTCTCACCTGAAAAACTGTTGTAAAAAATACAAGGCTAACTCATGAATACAGAGAGAAAATGGAGAAAAAAAATTCCCAACTATCTTATGATTTACTCAAATTGAGAGAAGATAATTTTGAGCTGCTTGTCCTATTCTACTCTAAGGAAAGAGATGTTTCTCACAAACATATCAATTATCACAAAAAGGTTGTATGTCCCAAGATTGCCTGCTAGCTACAGCAGTCTCCAGGGATATTCCAGTCTCACCTGCATAGTTCACTGGAGTTTAAACTGGGTTATTATATTCAGATAAGTGCACAAACCATGAGACAGTTGATTTTTATGGGTCAGTTTTCTTGATATTCACTGTCAGAACAGTTCCATTTTATACCACTAGTGGCTTATTTATGGCTTGTGTTAAATAGTCCAAATGACAGACAACTAGTCTGGGATATTAGCAAAGCAGAGACTTGAATCTAGAGCTCAAACATCCAAAGTGATATTCCTTGTCATTGGAATATGCAGCAAATCTCTCTTGCTGATCCAGTCAATACATTGCTTTCAGGATCAAGGGAACTAGCCTTTTCTCTAGCACTTCCTCCTTTGAAGAACACAAATTTCCACTTGCAAAACTTTTGTTGAAAAATCCCTATATTGTCACTTCTATTTGATATGTCTTTCATATGACACTCTATGGAAAACGCTCCCTTAAGAGCAGAAGTTTCTCATACCATAAGTCAGTCAGTGAGTTCTCCCACTCATCACCAGGGAAGTAAGCCAGAGTCTCCCTTTGTTCATCCATCTAATATTAGCTCACCAACGAACATAAGATTTAGTCCTAACTCAGCATCCTATTCCTCTAAGTGCAGCAGCAGTTGTTTTTTTTCTCAGAATTTAATTTATTTACACATTTCAGTTACATTAAAAATGGATGCATAAATAGTTTATTTACGTGAGGGGTTTTTTTTAAGTAAAAAATGTCACAGTACAATGAACACAGGTCCCATTTATGCAAAAAGAAATCAAAAAATCTACATCTATGTCAAAGCATGCAATACAGTAGTAAATATTTTAGTGCAGGGTGATGTAGTTTTTATCCTTGACAACAGAGCAGAAGCGATATTTGTGAAATCAGGTTGCATCTGTTAATATACTCTTCTGTAACCGTTCTGCCAAATATTGCTTGATTGACTAAGGGGAGAGGTTCCTGCTGTGAAAATAAGTAAACGAGTTCCTATGTTCATCATGGCTGGGCTTCGCGAATGAAGATTTGGGAAGGGCTCTACCCACATTTGCTACAAGCGCGCTGGTGGCTAAAGAGGTCAGTGCGAGATAGACAAGATCGGTTGCAAAAGGCACAGCAGAAAGACTCCTTGGATGGTATTGGCAGGATATGATTCTTTCTGCGTTGTCTTTTCTCCTCAAGGGTGATCCTGTGTGCATTCTCAAAGGAAGCAGCAGTGTTATAGACAGTGTGTCTCCAGACCTCCCGACTGGAGGCCAGGGTAGACCAGCGATGAAGATCAATGTGGCCAAAGCTGAGATGTTGCTTCAGGGAGTCCTTGTATCTCCTCTTTGGGGCTCCTCTCTTGTGGCAGCCAGGGGCAACTTCACCATAAAGCAAGATCTTAGGGAGGCGGTGGTCCTTCATCCTTGAGACGTGTCCTGCCCAGCACAGCTGTGTTCTCAGCAACATGGCCTCAATACTTGTAAGTGCTGCCTGTTCTAGAACAGATGTGTTAGTTCCTATGTAACACGCTAAGAAAACTAACCATGCTTTTCCAGGGACCCTTGAGGACAGAAAGTCCCCCATCACAAGCATTTTATACATGTAAATCTTCATCAGGGAAGGAAGAATACAGTCAGCACGCTGGGAAAAGATGAAACCGAAGTATATGCGCAAATAATGTGATAAAAAGATGCCCTCCACTACACAGTAATGTTGTCAATAACTCATCCTGATACTTCTCAAAGAACTGATGGGAATGGAATGTCCCAAAATAATGACTGTATGACTGTATAACCTCATCATACAACTTTTTGCAGTTTAAGTGTCTCTCTATGAAACTTTGGCCTATCCCCATTTAAATGATACAGACCTAAAAGAGGTCACTCACTCCTTAGCAAAATCCTCCTTTATTAGGACATCTAAGAGCATAGCAGCTGATAATTTGGCATTTTTCACTTCAGCAGAAGGGTAGACCCTTTTTTCCTTTCTCAGAGGAGAGAGCTTCCATGGTAAATCAAAGCATCATTTTGTCAAGGAATGCATTAAAGACCTCCCTGCCTTTAAAGAACTTATCTTATCAGTCCTGCATGTAAATGTATTTGCAAAAGTTATCTAAATGTCTCTGGGAAATTATGAGGGAGCTATAATATCAGTATAGCCATTAGATTTATTTTTTTTACCTTTTGAATAACATCATTAATAAAATTTTTGATTGCTCTGAATTAATTTAGTGTAATTTCAAACTCTGACAAATAGGCAGACAGGAAGCCTCCCCCACTTCACTGTAATACATCCTGCTATAGATCTTTTAATGAGAATTTATGGAAAATATTAGTAATATTGAAAACAGTCTTTACATTCATGTTCTAACAATTACACCAGTAATCTAAGTAGATGTCATCTAAATTTACTTCATTCTCTGAGATTTGCTGTATGTTCCTATTTATTGTTTCTTGTCCAATTTGCATACGTATTTTAAACTGTAACACCCAACAGCAATAGACCTACAATGCTTGAACATTATGAAGTACAATTAAGGATACCTAAGGAACAACATGAGATGAATTGTCCAGGAATTTCTGTTCCGCAAGAAGTCTGGATTTCATGGTATCCCAAATCAGAACAAGTACAATTTCCTATTTTCCAATGAAATAAGCAATAGATACTTCTTTGGGTCCATCAAATGATTTTGTTTCAACACCTAATTTCAATGAATTGAATTTCAGTTAATTTAGTTCTTTAACATGGCAGGTGAGTCAAAAAGTCAGAGAAAGCAACTCAAATTTACCTTCATTCCTAAAAGTCACAGAGACTTAAAACCATGGAACAGGATGCATTTATTTTATCTTTTAAATACCTTTTTTTTACACAGAGGCAGATTTTCTGCTCCACTTCAAACCTCCCACCTTCAGGAAATTCAGAAATGATAGCCAGAAGATGTCTTCTGGGTCACTGAGTATTTTCCACGGACAATATATCTATCAAGTAATCACACTGAGGAACTAACCTGCAGGTTCCTTCGGATGTCCTCATTGCTTATATCCAAATGCATCTGGCAGGCTCCTGTGTTACAGAAGCAACCCGTGCGGACATGTATGTTGTGGAGACTGGCCATCTTGTCCACCTTCCCAATTCAGCAGTAGATATAGGAACAGAATGAAAAATAAACATTTCAAAGTTGTGGTCAACAAGATACAATGTTTTAAAGGTAGAAATCAATGAAGGTAAATGATGTCTCTAAATTATTAACAACTTACTGTAGCTTTTACCATTCCCATACAGATTTAGGAGTTTTCAGCTCTGTTATTTCAGCTGGAAGAAAACAGTCATAGAAGCAGAAATGCTTACCTTGGCATTGTGAGACTACTACATACAAAACACACACAAACAGGGCATATAGGTTCAGGTCATGATCCTATAAATACCAGTACATTTGCTTAATTTTAAACCTGTGAACAGGTTTATTCACATCAGTAGTGCTAATTACAGACCTTCAGTAAAGTGTCACTTGGTGTCTTTGATAGAATCACCACCTACAACTGCTTCTGCGGAGACTGAAGAGAGGCCTGGGGCACCTTTTCAGTTAGCTAAAGAAAACTCTATTCTCTGGTGATCTGAAACTGCAATCCTCATTACATAAACTGACAGTATCTATGGGATTTTGGAACACAAGTGCTGGAAGGATTGGCCTGTCAGCAGGCAATAACATCTGACATAAAAGACAGTGAACTAGAATGCCTCCTTGAGTCTTGCACATACAACCACCAAGTCTACCAAGTCCCTGTGCATTTTCCCCTTGTGCTGTGCTGTTTGGTGTTATACCATTTCTCTATCGTCCACTAAATAATGAATAGGCAGAAATACAGTACTTGATGACAAACTGGCATGAACGGGAAGGAATGAAAACGATGTGCAAAGAGAACAGAAGCACATGTCCATGCGTGCCTCGGAAGGAGATGCATATACGGGAAGATGGCACTGCAGAGGATACGGATTATCAGGGTTTCATAGCACAGCTAAGAAACAAGGGAAGCACACCACAGGGATCCTCTTAGCACAGCTAAGAAACCATGGAAGCTCACTACAGGGAACTGCAAATGCTTTATATTGATTTCAAAAGGCAACAACAGCAGTTGGTAAGGTCAGCTGAGCTGCCACCAGTTATTTCTTAGACAAAAAATGATGAACATTCCTGGTCAGGACTGACAGAAAGGACAGTCAAATGCATGAAATCTGACACGTCCTACCTCTACCACAGACTTCCAGAACAGTCTTGCACAAGTTGCACCCTCTGTGCTTTTTGCTCCTTTTCTACAAAATGGAATGCTGAGATCTCCAAGAATAACCATGCTGCAGACTGAGGGGACCCCACTCTACCAGTGACAGAATCCTCCTCGCAGAAAGCTTGGGCTCAGTTGCATGCAGAGTGACAGCTCAGCCTAGAAATGCAGGAATGGAAGTGTCAACCACCTCATACTAACCACTTCCCTAACTTTGAGCTCATGCTTTATCTGTCTGAGGTATCAATTCAACCTAGGTAAATATTCAACATAGCTTTTCTGGCCGGTTTAATCCCTATTGGCTTTTATTATTTTTTTACATAAATTCCCTCTGTACAGGATAGTGGCCCAATATATATAGCAAATACTTTCTGGTATAATTTAGTCTATCTTCTGTCTCAACATCATCAATATTTTGATGTCAGTCTATCTTCAGTCTATCTTCTGACATCTCCAAGTTTAACTGTCTAAGACACTTTTAAATTCACTATCTTGGCAGCTCGAAAAACCAAGACTTCTGCTAGAATTTACTCTGTGCTGAAATAATTCAACCTAAATAGTATTTAGTTCTTGGTTTTTTTTGGTTTCTTTTTCATGTGTGGAGCACAAGGTTCTCCCTACAAAAATATACTGTATATACAGTAGAAATCCTACACTGCTGTAGTGCACAAGTTCTCAAGTTCACACTGACGTATGTTCAGCACCACTAGTTCAGTTCAAAATGGTTTGGTTCTCCAACAGAGATACAATCAAAATAACTCCAAGTATGCAGACTTGGAAAGCAGAAAAAAGAATCAGTCTCAAGATCTCTATCCATAATTAATGCCTTGGAGAATATCCTGTTTTCAAAGCATGCTTCTCAAACTGAAGTTACAGTAAAAGGCATCTATTGAGAAAGGCTGTTGTGGTGTCCCTAGCTTTGTTTTGTCATAAGACTTCAATCTGGGAACAGTGACATTTTCTTGATGTCTTTTTTCCTTTAGATAAGAAAAGTTGTCATCCTGCCATAACATGGTTTGTCATGGTGCTAGTGACTCATGGGCGGATCTATCATTCTGTTAATGATGACAAGCAAGGAAAAAATCATGACAGACACTTCACTACTGAAATTATACAGTGTTTGGGTTTATTTACTTAGTATACAAAAAACTTTAAACTATACAATCTTTTTATTATTAATACTTATTTGAAGAAACATTGCTGGGGCAGCCTTGCTTATCGAAGTGTAGGTAGTGTAATGAAGTTTCCATGACACAACTTCAAGAAATTGCAAATGAGATTTTCTTTTTAAATTTTTCTTAATTTTGGCAAATAAATAATTACTATTCCTTAGTGAACAGTAATTTCATTCTAGCCAAGCAACCTAATACCCTTCTACAGTAATACTTTAATTGTTGTATACATTAATCTGTACAGTAGACAAGGTTTATTGATACATTGAAACATATGATCATTAAAGGAATATGGGAATTATGATTCAGGATGTCCTGGGTTACGCAAAAATTCAGGTATCCACTTTTTATCTTATCCCTAAAAATGTCTACTGATTTGGACTGTGATGGGAACTTGAGATAAGGTGGTACTATTATCCCAGGAGAAGAATGTATCCACAAGTGTGAAAGACTGGAATACTGATGACTGAGACAATCCAAGTGCAAGCTGATGATGTGCAAAGTAGTGACCCAAGTGTTGAGGGTGTGCACACCTCAGGCTACAAGCTGGGTGTTGTTTCTTTGCCCTTACACAAATGACTCAGCTGTAATAACTCCCCTGTGAGGAAGCATCAGGACAATTCACACATGGCCTGAAGACATTCATCTCTGCTGGTGGACCTTAATGGATCCATAACAGGCAGCTGTAATATCTCAGAAGGTGTCAAAGACTCCTTTGATCCTGTGATCCAGTATTACATCATCTAGTGTAGAAATCCCTGCTCCAGAGGAGGTACTGGGTGCATTCCCAGTTAGCCTAAGCCAAATAAAAGACCACACTTGAACTTTACTCAACACTGGGTTGTCTTCCCTTCCACACAGGACTTTTTCCTTACAACCCGGGGCTTCTACCACCACCGTGATGGATCCGAACTACGACTACAATGTCGACAGGATTACAACCACCGCTTCACCCAACAGATATCGAGGTTGCAGCAGCCAGGTTTTGTTGCTGAACCCAGCAGGTGTCTTGCGGGTCCTTCCAGCCATCTGGGAGCATCTTCAGCCCTGCTCAAACTGCCTGTACCAGCACTGCAGCCTCAATCCAGCAGTGACTCTCCAGCTGTTCCTGCCAGATTTTCTGGGTGCAGGGGAGGAAAACCATATGGAAAGGCGACCGTCTTGTCTCTGTCCCTTTGCCACGTGTGTGTTTTCCAGGTGGGGGAGGCTGGCCACCACCTCGATTTGATCTGTTGGGTGGGGCTTGGGAAGTTTCTCCTCATTGGTTGGTTTAACCCAGTTTTATCACTATTGTTATTAATGTTTCTTCTTGGTAAAGAGTAATTTTTTCACTTACATCCAGGCATATTTGGTGGCTCTGTATTGGAGAAACCCAGGGCATTGAATCCAAGGGAGGAGGCTTGTGTCCAAGACCTCTGTCCCTCCAAATTGTCTCAAACCGAGACACAAGAGAACAAAGATAAGTTATGCATTGCTTTAGTATTAACTGAATTTCATTATCACCAATGTGATAATGTATGCAGGTCTTGGGAATGTGATGTACATACTGGAAACAATGACACTACATAAAGAATCAGTAAAGGTGGCACTGCAAATGTCTGTCCCTTGCACGCATGCTTGGCTTTCCCTTGGACATAGGTTTTGATTTCTTCTTCTTTAGCTTCACCCTAGAAATATGCTACTTGGGCAGTTAATTTAATCTCTCTCTGCAGTGCTACCATATAGCAAAACAAATAGAACATAAAACATCTGTTACAGTTATTCCAATGAAGAAAAGCTTACTTAAATAAAGCACATCTTTAAAATTGCTATAAGGAGCAATAATGGATATTGAGTTCAGAGTTATGAAATACAGAATGTTGCTTGCAGCTCTGTCTGTAACAGTGGCAGCTGACTTTTGGGAACCAGTAATACATTCATCAGTGAAGGCACAGAAGCATGAATGGTACTAGTGGTAAGTACAGAGCTTAATGTAGTCGTATTGTCAGTTTTGGTGATTCCCTGGGTATGATATTTGGAACTGCTGGGCCTTAGTCTTTCAGAGCTTAAAGGCAACAATTAAATTGCAAAACACATGCAGAAATCTTGCAGTATTTTTACTGATTTCAGTCAATGAGGACATGATAATCAAGACATCACTACGTAAGACCCTTCTGCCTCTCGGAGTCCCTTGACACTCATTACTTTTTCTGAAGCTCTTTACTGTGGACCTGGTCCTGTAGGGTGCCTCACACCCCAACACTTCTGATGTCACATAATCTTGACTTCTGACAAGCAAAAGGTGCTTTTCACACTTCCAAGCCATGGTCTTCAATTCTAATAAAGATACGTTAATAAAGCTCACCCAAACCAATTTTTTAAAACAGTTGCTTTTTTCTCAGTGAGCTTTCTTTTAGCATTGTCAGATTGATCAAATGTTAACATTTGGGGTTTCTTTCATAGTTCCTTACCTGATAAATACAATTTTTTTTTTTCATATAAAAAATATTGAAGTGGAGAGCTTTCTGCCCTCCTCGTTTTAATGCATTACCCTACAGTAGTCCCCTCTTGAATATCTGGTATTCTAGTTGACACCCAGCAGCTGGAAACCTCTGAAAATAAATGAGCTTCTGATGTGTTCTGCTTTCTCATTCCCTGTCAAACAGCTGCACCGGTGACTTTTCTGCTTTTGC